GGGGCGCGGCGCGGCGCCAGGAGGTCTGGGGGCGCGCGTTGCCGTGCGGTCGACCGCGCCATGTGACTGCCGAACGGCGGCGGGGAGGAGGCCCCCGGCCCGTGCTTGCGGGGGCCGCGGTGGAAAGCCGCGGGGCTTCCTCGGGCGTCAGGTGAAGCAAGAGGTTTGAAGTGGAGAACTTTTTTTTTGTGCTGTTTTGCCTGGAATAAGTTGGTGGCGACCTCAGGGCGCGTCCCATATGTCCAGCAAAGGCGCGACGACGGCAAATCGCAAACAACGCTATTAATTGAGGCGCGGCTCTTCTGCGCGTGGCCGGACCGTGGTCGCAAGAAGAGGTGCAGGACGCAACCTTCGCAGGGAGCCCCGGCCCCCCCACAGTTCGGGCCCCTCCTCGGCGGAGAGAAAGGGCGTCGGGAAGGAAGAGCGCGCCGTGCGCGGAAAACGGTTGGGACGCATCGACTCTTCGAGGCCGCGCCGTTAACGTTTCCGTGAAGGCAACGGGGCCACGGTGACCGGGGAATCGCAAAGCGCCCAACGACGACTACTTCTCCGCTGGGTCGCCTAGAGGCGATTGTCGATGTGCAACGTTTGGGTTTTCATTGCGAGAGCAAACGTGAGCTCGCCACTCAGCGCGTGTCGCGCCAAAGTTGTCGCCAGGGCACCGCCAATGCCAGCCGGGGGCGCGCGGCGTGGGGGGCCGGTCCCGCCTCCACGAAGTTTGCTCGGCGCTGCCATCGCCCGGGCGAGGGCGCGGGGCAGTAAGCGGCGGCGCGCAAAAAGCTATGCTGCAGAAAAATGTTTGCGCAGCTTTCTTTTGGAGTGTGAAGGCTCTGTCGCCAACTTCGCCGGCGCGCGGGGAGAATACGCAGGACCCGCCTGAGGCGCGGCCCTGCACGGACGGATCCCAGCGGGCGCCCGCTCTCGTTTTGGATTTTTACCTATGGGCTTTTATTTCATGCCAGTATCGTTTTATTTCCTCCTTCGCGGGGGCGGCGGCGACTGAAAATGGCGTGGTGCCGTTCAGCCTGCGAATGCCGTCGCGCCAATTCGAAAATGAGCGCGAAAAACGAAGTTTAGGAAA